TTGATTTTGAGTGACCCAATGTTCTGGTATTCTGGGAGACAGATAAACATTTCTGTCTATCTGTTTCTCTGTAATAACATTTCTGGATTGTCATCAAAGGCTACAAATTTTCCAAACTACTACTACTACTATTACTATTACAATTAACATTATTATCATGCTGCCCTTCATCCAAGGATCACGGAACAGTTTACAATATAAAAACAACATGTAACAAACAAAACAATACCCCCATGTTTGGCCCCCAGTTTAAAAGGCCATAGATTGTTTAATGAGCCAAAGTAGAAGAGGAATCTCTTTGCCTGGCACCTAAAGATATGTAAGGAAGGTGCCAGGTAAGCCTTCATAAGGAGGTCATTCCACAAGCAGGGAGGCCCATTCTGGACCTCTCTTGAAGGAGGCACATGAAGAAGGGCCTCCGAGGAAGGTCACAGGGTCCATTTCAGTTCTTATGGGGAGAGGTAGTCTGTTAAAGGCAACCACATCTACAACACATAGCTACTGTCAAGTCTGGAAATGACTAGAACATTGATAACTGAGGAGAGGCCTGACTTCTCCAGGCAGAGCCACAGTTGGCATAGAAGCTAATAAGAAATTATCCTGGTCATTGCCACCACTGGACCTTTCCTGGTTGAGTACGTGGGAAGTTGTTTGCATTGGCTGTGAAGTGGGATTGGGTGGGGGGAACCACCCGATAAATGGCATCTTCAGGTCAAGTTACATCATAAATAATCTGCAAAGATTTAGCAAACTTCATTGTGAGCGGACACTGCACCATTGACATCTCTTGTTGGAAAGGCAGCTTGGATTTAGCTCCCAACTTCACATAATGTAATTATTATCCTCTGTGTATTTGTGGGGGTGAAAGAAAATTAATAATATACTTCATAATAATGGCAAGTGCCTTTGTAATTTGTGCTGTAAAGCAGCCAGAAAGGCTTAGACACCATTGTGGAAGGCTATGCCGAAAAAAGGCTTAATTTAAGATAAATAATCTGGTAATGTCAGGCCTCTTCTTTCACTAAATAACAGTTTTGGCAATGTCATCACCAAGACAGAGCCTTTGTGTTCAATGGCCTTTTAATGTGAAACTAAGCTTTTTGAAAAATCTGAAATCTACTGCATCCCAGACAAATCTTCTCTAATGTGCAGAATAATACAAATGCCCCTCAAGTTTTAAACATGGCAACCATCACTAGAGGTGTTTTCTTTAAAAAAACAAACAAACTTTCAACTGTCACCATTGTCCCCCTTTGAAGCAAAGGAGAGGTAGCAAAGCAGATAAAAAGCATTATTCTTCAAACAAACATCACTTGACCAGAACTAAAGTACAGACCAAACCATTTCACTTTCTTTTCATAGTTCCCATGGTCTAAAAGCCATTGGAGCCGATTTCTTGATCCTATTTTTGTATATGTGGAATCATGGGGTACAGAATAGAAATTCATACAATCATACACACAAGAAACCCTGGGTAAACCACATATGGTCTGAGATTCAACTAACCCAAAGAATAAAGAGGCATCTATTCTGAAGTGTCCAGTGCCCATAACATTATTATTATATTTCCTATTATTTTGAGACATTTTTACATGCGTTCATGTAAGATTCCTAAAGAGAGTTTAAAGGGAAATAAACATTTCCCTAATTTAACACCTCAGTTACGTGCTATCACATCTATACTGGTGTGTATAATAACTGGGTAAAAGATTGCAGTCTTAAAACAATTCAATTGCTATGTGTTAACCGAAAACAGCCGTTTCCCATTCCTGACTTCTGATCTTACTGATTTGCAGCTTATCCTCTGCAAGCCTATTCTTGCTTATTCCAGCTGCAATACTACAGCCTAGAAATATTCTGTAGCACTTCTGATTTAACTGTCCAGAAAAAGCAGGAATAGGTAGACCGAGACCTTCAACTTTCTCCACAGAGAACCTCCCTTCCTGTGTTTAGACCTCCTTGCCCCATGTTGGTTCATCCCTAAAAACAGGATGCCAAGATTTCCAGAGGGCTAGCAATGTTAGTCTGTTGCAGCAAAAAAAAACACCCAAAGATTTTTGTAGTGTGTATATATTTCTTCATGGTAAGAAGAGTTTTCTTAACTTACTTTTGATTGGCCTATAGACTGGTTGATAGGGTTGCCAGATGCTGAAGAGCAAAAAAGGAGGATAGCCTGAGCCACTGCCAGCCTGAGCTGGGGAAATTAGCATGCGGGGCTGCAGTCATGCTTGCATGCCTCTTTCCCCAGCTTGGACTAGCAGTGGCTGTAGAGTGCAGAGCAGCCCAAACCCAAGCCCAAGTCTGATCCGCCAGAGCCCAAGCTGCTCCCAAATAACCCCCCCTCCAAAAAAAAACCCTGGACATTTCTTTTACATTCTAAAAATCCGCCCACATGGACATGTTGACCACCCCCAATAGAGGACATGTCCTGGTTTTCGAAGCTGTATGGCAACCCTATTGGTAGATCAGGCTCCCCACAATATCAGTCCTAAGAGGTAGAGTCTTCTAACATTTAATGAATTGAATTCTGGAGGAAACACTCTCACAGCAGCCCGCAAGCAAGCTACCATCTTTCTATGTACAGTGGTACCTCTGGTTACGTACTTATTTCGTTCCGGAGGTCCGTTCTTAACCTGAAACTGTTCTTAACCTGAAGCACCACTTTAGCTAATGGGGCTTTCTGCTGCCGCCGTGCTGCCGGAGCACGATTTCTGTTCTCATCCTGAAGCAAAGTTCTTAACCCGAGGTATTATTTCTGGGTTAGCAGAGTCTGTAACCTGAAGCGTATGTAACCTGAAGCGTATGTAACCAAAGGTACCACTGTATTTAGCTCAGAGGGGGAAAATAAAACACAACATAGAAACACAGTGTGATTGTGCCACAATAACATGAAGTAGACGATTCGCCTTCCTTGTCGCCTTATGCTGACAAAAATAAGCATGCTTGCTTACATATAGCGTACAGTCTGTATTAATATGGAAGTATTTCATAATTACATGACAGAAACCCTAGAGAAATTTTCTTATTATTTCTATCATCTTTAAATACCAAGCCTGTTAAAAATGAATTCAAATCTGTGCTTGTAATGCACAGTACCCAATAGAGAAAAACTCCTATTTATTACTACTATTACAAAACATAATAATCACAATAAATATAATAATAATAATAGCATAGTTGGCTTTTTCAGTTGTTCAAAAAGAGCAAAGAGGATACAAATATTCTAACCAGTAATGCCAGCTCCTTCTTTTTTCCAGCCTGGGATAAGATGACACATTCAAATCTCTTTCATTCTTCTCATTTCCCAGCCCCTTTAGACAAACAAAATACAAGCAATGATGGGACATTAATGTCAGACTTGTCAATATCTCTGACAGACTTTGGATTTAGTTAGTAGTAGCAATAACAAACCATCTTGTAGGATTTATTTTAAAATTTCTGTTGTATTTCATTTCTGCAGCTGGGTTTGTCTTTGAACCAGCATGCCCTCTGCCACACTAGCTTCCCATCTGGGTAATAGTTATTTATATTTAAATATTTTCAGTATTCTCAGCCTCCCTCCCGCAAGAACTGAGGTGATATACTTGTGAAGGACCCAGTAGCTCGGAGGGTTAATCCCACATAACTGCTCAATAATCCTGTAGTTTTTAGCAAAATGATTAGACACTTTCATGGATACTTATAAATGGCTATCGGCCATGATAATGAACTTGAATCTCTCCATCCAGAAGCAGCATAGCTTGGCATAGCAAATTCTGGTTATCAAAACCATGGCCTGGCTGCCTCCCTCATGACCTGCTTGTGAACTTCTAGGGTCAATACACTGGTCACTGGTGAAAATATAATACTGGATTAGATGGCATGAGGAAGCCCCAGTGTAAGACTATTTGTTCATTTAACCCTATACAGTGGTACCTCAGGTTACATACACTTCAGGTTACATACGCTTCAGGTTAGAGACTCTGCTAACCCAGAAATAGTGCTTCAGGTTAAGAACTTTGCTTCAGGATGAGAACAGAAATCGTGCGCCAGCAGCACGGCAGCAGCAGGAGGCCCCATTAGCTAAAGTGGTGCTTCAGGTTAAGAACAATTTTAGATTAAGAACGGACTTCCAGAACGAATTAAGTACTTAACCTGAGGTACCACTGTAGTGGTGGCATCTCTCTAAGATTGCAGATATCTCTCCAAGATCCTTTGCAACACTTGCTACCTCATCCTTAAACCCAACAATACAGTATTTGTGAACCTCTGGATATTGTTGGACTCCAACTCCCATCAGCCCCAGCATGACCACAGGTTAAAGATGATGTGAGTGCCTTAGCGGGCTGTGTGGCTTCTCTGAGACAAAGCAGGATTTCTGCAAGGTTACATGAGTCAAACCAGGGTTCCCTGTAGCACTTTGTAGCAACTCAACGATCCTTTTAAAAATAGACAAGTACCTGCTAAAATTGAAAATATGTGACTCAGATTACTGTGTAATGAAAATTTCTGGATCAGATAGAGAAGGGAAAGCACCTTCTAAATTGACACAGATCTAGGTTGTAACACGGGGAAATGGTTTTATTCCAGTGCTTTGGAGGAAGAAGCAACTTTGCAGGAGGAGAATTTATGGTTCTGGAAGCTAGGAGGGGAAGAGCAGAGGGAGAGCACCTTCATGACTAGTAGCTCAAGCATATAACCACAAGTTAATTACTTCTGGTTTTTTCCACCTCTAAATCAATTTTAAGGGTGCCTAGCTGCAATGTGGCATGGTTGTTGTTGTTGTAAAACTAGTGGCACCTCACTTATGTCTGCAATTTTCAGACTAGTTGCCCTCAAAACATTAGGGAATATTAAATTGTTCTTTTTCTACATACCATGAAACTAGAATGGCTGCCCTTACAGGAAAAAAAAACCTGGAGTTTTCCTTCTGATACTACTACTGCTACTAATTGATTATTTATACCCTGCCCATCTGGCTGGGTTTCCCCAGCCACTCTGGGCAGCTCCCAACAGAATGTTGTTGCTTCTGCTGTTGTGGTTGTTGTTAATAAAGTGATAAAATATCAAACATTAAAAACTTCCCTAAACAGGGCTGCCTTCAGATGTCTTCTAAAAGTTAGATAGTTGTTTATTTCCTTGACATCTGGTGGGAGGGCGTTCCTTAGGGTGGGTGCCACCACGGAGAAGGCCCTCTGCCTGGTTCTCTGTAACCACACTTCACTCAGGGAGGGAACCACCAGAAGGCCCTTGGTGCTGGACCTCAATGTCCAAGATGAATGATGGGGGTGGAGACGTTCCTTCAAGTATACTGGGTCGAGGCCATTTAGGGCTTTAAAGGTCAACACCAACACTTTGAACTGTGCTCAGAAACGTACCGGGCAAGACACCTTTGCCCAAAAGCATTCAAAAGTGAATATTTTTTAGATGTTTCTTTTTAAAACAATAAGGTTGCCCACAAATTGTATGAAACTCAGCAAGCTTTGCCCACTCTTGAGTGGCTAGTATGCCTACAAATTTCATCCACTTCCTAGCAGTGAAATTAAAGAGACTTGGACAGAGTTAAATTGGGCAGACTATGAAGTACCTCAGATCAAGGCAGGCTGTTTCCTGAAGCACCGAAGTGGCATCCATACCCATTATTGTGCCTGGTGCATATGCCTAATACACACACAGAGGTGTGTTAATACTTGTTCTCAACCTCTCTGGTCACACTGGGAAATTTTTAGATGCCAGTTCCATGTGCACATAAGAGCAAGCCAATAGTTCTGACTTTATTAATATTCATTGTTTCTCATCTTTAATAGTGCATTGTTGTTTTTAACCTGAGTCAATCGCTACCTGAAAGATAAAGCACATAGCCATTATTAGGGTGGAGACATGATGAATGGAAGATAGAGCTAGCTGTTGTTTTTTCTCCCAGCTACTCACTAATCTCTTTGTCTCGTCTCAGCCTTGATAAAGTTGCTATTTCCCCAGAGAGAAGCTTCTTCCCTCAGCCTTTTCCTATCTAAAGCAAAAACACTCTGACATGTCATACTGAAGTCCTTGTTGTGTGTGTGTGTGTGTGTGTGTGTATTCCGAGGCCTTGTTCATAAATCATAAAACTTCAACCAGGATTATAATTACAGTACTGTGGGTACTCAGCATGTAAGTGGGTACAGAAAAATTAAGTATTTCATTCTAAATTATTATAGGCAACATGATCTCATTATTTCAATGTATTATTTTGGCGTATCTGAAATCACTTTGGTTAACAATTCCTTATTCATAAAAGAAGTTAATTCACAAAGTAAAGTATTTACTGCTTGAGCAATACATGTATCACCAAAGCCTTTCACATGTCCTACATGTCCTACATGACATAAACCTGACACGACTAACAGAGCAATCCAAACCCTCATTCCCCTCCAGCAGAGCTTTGCAGAGCCACTTTTCCATCCACAACTTGGCTGCTCCCAGCAACCATGGTGGATGATGAGGAAGGGAAGATGATTGAGCCAGTTACATCTGCCATTTCCAGGCTGGTGCAGCAACTGGCTTGAGATAGCACCCAATGCTTTATGCTAGCTCCCACTTGATGGGTGGAAAGGGGAAACTGGTGTCGATGGAGTGACTCTTGTGTCACTTCATTGTTGACAGCTAGCAGGAGACTGGATCAATAAGCCAGCAGAGTTGAGCAAGCAGACATTGCAGAAAAACCAACAAACCACAGCCTACCATGTTGAATTTGGTTTCTTCTTTAGGGCTGAAATCCAAACTACACTTCCCTGGGAGTAAGTCCAACTGAATTCAGTAGGATTTAGTTCTGAGTAGGCATCATTTAGGACACACTGAGAATCTAGGATTGTGCTATTAGTCACAAAATAATTCCTGGAAAAACCTGATGGAATATGATGAATCAAAGTGACATCACTGGCTGTAGTCCTGAAACAGAGGCAGTCCTTCTGATAAATGTTCTCTTCACCCAGTGTATACCCAGTCCATCACAATGTCCGTTAGCTATCCTATTATCCTTTTGCACCAAACAATTACTATGTTTCTCCCAAGCTCAGCAACACTTCAGAGCCCAGCTAACTTGCCAGGGATCTGAATAACTAGAGGAGTACTTTGGCCACCCACAAAAAAGCTTTTATACAAATTTAAGCACAATAATTTGAGACAGCATAGCTGGCCTTTATGCATACATTTCCCTTCCATATCTCCATAATATGTTTGTGCTCCTAAATTAAAAGTAGAAGACATAAAAAAACACTTCTCCTTCCCCTTGAAGAAAAATTGTGAAGAAAGAATAAATATATACCCATCCCCATTCTTAGCCAATGATTATTTGTTTTTATTTATTTATAAAATGATAAAACAACGAAATAATAAAAATGGTAACATTACAATAATGGGTTGTATTCAATGCACCACTAACAAGAACATTCGGTTGGCACAAGGATTTCTCCTTGTGCATGAAATGCTCTCACCTTCTCCTTCCCTTGCACACTCCTAAATCTGTGAGGGGCCTTCATCCAATCTTGCAGGGGTGATTTGGGCCTGGCATGGGGCACACAGAGAGGAGAAGGAGGCACAGTCCTCTCACACTAGCACTAATTCTTGCATTAACACATATATTCAGTTGAATACCACCTCATAAATATAAGCAATAGCCCAAGAGCATCATTAATTCCTGACATTAAAAAACAGAAAAGACTTGTGTGCACGGATATGGTTGTTGTTTTTTACAAATAACAACATGTCATCACCACTGTCAGCACTCAGAGTGGAGGCAATTCCATAGAAAAGGGGCCACCACAAAGATCCTCTCCCAAGTTGTTCAGAGTGTTGTAGATTAAAACAAAACCTTGAACATAGCCCAGTAGCTCAATGGCAGCTAGTACAGCTTATTCAAGAGTAAACTTGCTACAGCATTCTCCACCAGCTGCAGCTTCCAGACCAATCTCAACTTTCCTCTTCTAGGTACTCCATTTCCATTTAGTGGCCCACATCCAGACCATTACTGGCTTTCATCACTAGCTCTCATTAAGGCAAACCAAGGAGGTATCTGACTGCTACTTAATCCCATCTCTGCCGGCCTGCAATCAATTGGATGAAGCCTCCAGGAACATAGGTCGTTCCCATATACCGAGTCAGATCATTGTGATCTGTCTGGCTCTGTATTGTCTACACTGACTGGCAGTGTGGCTCCAGGATTTCAGATACATTCCCAGTTCTGGAAACACTGGGTCTTGCACATTTGACCTTCTGAATGCAGATGCTCTACCACTCAGCTACAGCCCTGACAAGTACCACCACCCTTTGAACTGAGTGGCAGTGAGAAGTATGAAAGCACCTTAGGAAGTCTCATCAGGGAAGTCTATCTCAATCTCCCTCAATGCATACATTACCTGCCTCATGAATGAATCAGTTTATACTTGGCTACTGTCACCCCATCTACCAACCAGTAAGATAAGCAGGCTTCACAGAATAACCTCAGGAGAAAGATTGCATCCCTCTATAGAAAGGCGATAACAGCCTTCCCTATTGGCCAGAGTCACCAGCATACCAACACTGGCTGCCAGGTTCACATTGCTTCCTCTGGGAAGAGGGGTGGGACAAACCTGGCCCCAATGAATGCCACGGGTGTGACATTCATTCAGTTAATACATGCAGTATATGAATGAAAGACAGAAGTCCATAAATACAGACAAATGCACATCAGGAAGTTCTGCTTGAGACGTGGCTTCCTGATGAGTGTCCATAAGTGTGTCAGGATGTGCACCCTTCATTCATTTGTCTTTGGCGTTGGAAACAGGAGAGCAACACCGGTGAGCTACAGAAAATACAATTTCTGTGTACAATTCTGATGGAGTCACTCCAGAGGGTGTCATAACTTCATTATCGCAAGAGGAGGAGATCCAGTTTTGTGGCAATTCTGCAGGAAATCAGTTTGCTCTTGCTCAGTTCAGACAGAGAAGTGCTTTCCTTTGGCGTTCCCCTGGCTGTCAGACCCAGCTAGCTATCAAGCACAAAAGATCCATTGTTTTCTCACAACAGGGAGCTGCTGTTCTATGGCAGTGAAGTCTACCTGCTTACTGGAGTCAAGGGCACCCTTTGACTATTTCACAAAGAGCCACAGCAGATGATGCTGAGGGTTCCCTACGATGCGCTGGCAGTTTTCTTGATGTGGGGGCAGAAGAATGTTTTCTCATTACTACTATAGGCATCAATTGTCTTGCAAAGCATCCGCACGGCCAGCTCTGGGATGAAGTGTGTTTGCAGCTGCGATGAACCCCCCCCCCACCAACAGCCACATTTAGTAAGTTATTGCAAAGGGCAGCTTCCAGAAACAATGAATTCCTTGATAGAATTCACTGTTTTCAGAACTTGCCTGAAAAAATGCCCTGCTGTTCTGTTGTCTGGAGGAAAATGCCTATACTCTTATTTATATGTGTTGGTTACGAGCAGTAAAGGTAATGCCCTAAAGACTCTGAACGATTAAACAAAGGCAGAAAGTAAATTTGCATTTGTTGCACCACTGAGTCTATGCCATGAATTGGAGTCATGCTGCCTCCTCTTCAGTTCCTTGCTTTGCAATCACACTCATTTTTATGAGAAATTTCTCATTGTGCCTTCAATTTTCTAGAGGGTCAAAGGGTTTGGATCAGTCAGCAGCTGAGGACAGAAAAGTTTTATTAATGTCGACATATTCACTGGGCAGGAGTCTATGTTCTGTCTGACCCAGAGGTTGCCTAGAAAAGAAATATGGGGGAATAGGGTAGTAGCAAAGTTAGCCATGTGAGAAGCTGGACAAATACCCAGTGCAGAAGATGACTGAAAAACACAGTGCCTGATACTTATCAGAATTATGGATGCTTGCAATAGCATATGTGTATTCTCAAGTCCATGCTGATCCCTAGAGAGCCTTTCAGTAGTGGCACCCAGTTATTGAGCAGTATTCCTAGAGTAATTCACCTAATGTCATATTAATGGTTTCCTCCCCTCCACCAATTAAGTCTTATGGTCTGGTTCTCTTGTCCATTTTTTTAAAAAGCGTTTTAATTATGTTTAAGTTTTAATAGTTTCATGCTGCATTTCAACTCTTTTATTTGTTTTGTATGCTGCCCAGATAACTTGTATTATGGGGCAATTATAAAAATGCAACAAAATTAAGACTTTGCAAACTCAAACACTTCAAAAGAAGTGTTCCACTGTAGATTTGCAGATGACACCAAGCTGGGATGGGTAGCTAATGCCTCGGAAGACAGAATGGGCCCAAGCTAACAAAATGAATTTTCACGGGGACTTCCGGGTTGGCGCCTCCAGGCAATGGCGGAGTTCCTCCGATCGGGAGGAATTTGCTCTGCGGAAATTAGGGTCTGACCGCCACGGCGAAGGCGGAGACCCACTGAAATCACAGGCAGGAGAAGCCTGTGAACTTGGGATTCGGCTGGCACCCTTTGCGCCTCCTCTACTCGTGGGGAAACCCTCATTTGGGGATCCGGGGCGAAGTGGGGTGAGTGGTGCAGTGCTTCGAATTGACTGCTTCTTTCACGGAGTGAAGCTGCATCGCTGTTGCCGAAGAGCGCTGACTTTTTCCTGTGGACAATTGGATTTTAAACAACTACCCGTGAGTAGAACGGAAAATTAGATCCTTAAATTCATTAATTTGGCATCGAAACGGGAAGGTTCTAAACAGGAAGTCCGCCTTCCTTTTTTGTAAACAGATCGAAGCAAAGAAGTTGCAAGTTAAAGCCTTGGAAAGTTTATTTTTGTAAAGGAGTAATTCTCCATCGGTTAAAACTATTAAACCCCCCTTGAAAGCAGGAGAAGAGGGGGGAAATTTTGGACCTAGTGAGCCTGCAGGAGAGAGTGAAAAACCAAATTACCACTGCTCCGAACCTGGAAACGGGCTGCCAGAAAGAGTGACGTTTTTTGACAGCTAGCAATAAGAGAAATATATTGTTTCCATTGTACTCATCTGCGTTTAAAAAGTAGGAAAAGAAACTATCTTTAAACTGTGTTTGAAAGGATTGATACAAGTGGAGACTGTTTCCCTCTAGAGGGAGCTTTTGAAACAGTTACAAGAGTGGGGCTGGGGTTTTTCCAGTTGCAAGATAAGAACTGTGTGAAATAGAGTTCGACCTTGGACTTTAAGAATGTTGACAGAAGGAGCCTTAGTGACTGTATTATGTAAGATAAGCTATTCGTTGGAACAGCTCCACAAGAAGACGGACGCTATGAATACCAAACTTGAGAACTTGGGACAAAAAGTGACTAATTTGGAACAAAAAGTGACCATTAATACAGAAATTGTTCAGGATTTGACACAGGAACCTACCTTGACAGGACAAACTGGGGAGAAGACGAAGGAGAATGTTGGTGTTGTTAAACCTAAAATAATACAAGTGGAAGCCCCAGTTTTACAGAGGCAAACTGAGGACTATAAGTGGAGGCCTTTTATGAATGAATATAGAAAAAGTCAGAATTTGAAGATTGGAGCCCTGTTTGGATTGAAGAAGGAAGGTTGGATAGACTCTTTCATGCAGAGATTTACTGACCTTTGGGTCCTGAATCTGGGTCAGGAGGTGATTGGAGTTGTGGGGGCCTTTGGATCTGGGGGAGCCTTGAAACATGATTTGAGATATTGTATGGACACTGGTTTTAGCTGTGGAGAGTTGGTTGGTCTGCCGAGAGGGAATGGGGACATGGTTGGGTCGGGCCCCCCCAAAAAACCTGCGGTTTAGCACCCTCAGCATCAAAGAATATGAAGAAAAACTGCAGAAGGGACTTGGAAAAGATTTAAGAGCCTCGGACAGAAGATCTCCAGGTTGATGAACTATATGGAATGGACGGAAATGACTGGCAGAATCCGAGACCAGGGAGAAGAGATGGTGGTAGAAGATTGGGAAAGTTTAAAGTTTATATATAGAAATATTGTAAATTTAATGAGTGTTAGAAAATTGTTGGAATGAAATTTTATGGCTTTAGCAGAAATGTTATAAGGAGTTAGGTATAAATAAGTATTTCAGTATTAATGGAAAATAAGGTACAAAATATGTTAAGATATTCATAATGATAAAAATAGAGAAAGATGGAAAGGAATTGCTGAAACAAGTAATAGAAGTGGAATACAAAAAGGGAGGTGAGAGGAGGTCGATGAAATAAGGGAATGAAAGATAGAGTAATGAAATGGTATGATATATGTTTTTAAATTGTTGGTTTTTTTTGCTTTGTTTAGTTTAGTGTGTTAAGGTTGTGTTTTGTATTGTTTATTGTATTGTATTGTATTGTTTTTTCTTTTCTTTCTCTTTTTTTTCCTTTTCTTCTCTGCTCTATTTTGTCTTTTTCTTTCGCCTATTTTCTTCTTTCTTCTTTTCTTGTAAGTTTTAAAAGCAATAAAGATTATTTTAAAAAAACCAAAACAAAATGAATTTTCACGGGGACAAATGTAAGGTTACGCACTCAGACAAAAAGAACCTGATGCAAAAATACAAGATTGGGGACACCTGGCTTACATGTGAAAAGGATCTAGGGGGCTTGGTGGACCACAAGCTGAACATGAGTCAACAGGGGAGCTGCAAGACAGCAGGAGTGGCTTTGCAGGTGTCTTCACACCTGCAGGTACCAATGTTGTCAACCTGAGTTCCCCTGAGAGCACCACCCTGTCCCATCCCAGCAAACACAACTCTGTCCCCTTTCATGCATCCCCAATAGTAACACGTAAAATTAATCCAGATCCTTCCTCAAAAACTTTGAATGGGACCTGCTATTCAAGTTCTACCTGTCTTTTTTTCACTTCCAACAAAATTACAGCTCAGAGCAGATGCATATTATCAAGGGAAAGGATAGCTGCTCCACTGACTCAACAGAAAAATATGATCACTCTTTTTGGAATGACATAGAAATCTGCATCAACAGAATATCATAGAATGTTAAAATTTCAGCAAATTTATAAATATTGCAAAGGCACATGAATCAGCCAATGTTATGAATAAGGCTAATGTCCTTGAAAGAGAAAACACTTGAGTGAAATATCATTATTATTATTCCAACTAAAGAATGTGAACACAAAGGACAGGATATCATGATTGGGGCCTCCATATTAACAACAACAACTACAAAAACAAAAAATCAAGGAATGAATTAGGAGAGGACAAAAGATGAAGACGGCAGTCTGAGGAACTGGCATCACACATTTGCATTATGAATGCAAGCTATAATTGCAGAGCTGCCACTCAGCTGACAGGATTTTCATATCTTTAAACATTGTGATGATTCAGTCTTTAATAATTACAGCTGGAAAGTTCTATTGCTTGAAAAGAGAAACTAAAAATGAACTTATCATTTTTCATTGAAATAGTATGGGAAACTAGAATGCAGTAGGAATCCTAATTACCTGAAAACACTGGTTATCTTTGAAAATGATTTCCGCCGCCCCCCCTGCTTTTGTCATGTCCTTTTAAAAGACTGGATTATGTGTGAAATACTATTTCATAGGGAGGGGGGATTAAAATATCTCTTTTGAAAAACTCACAATGCCTACATGCAATTATTTATATAAGAAAAGCCCTGTTTTTCTTATATAACATGTACAGAGGAGGACAATTAAGATGTTCAAGTGTCTAGAAGCCAAGCCTTATGAGGAACAGTTGAAGGAGATGGGTATGTTTAGCTTGGAAAAGAGGAGTAGGCATGATCCTACTCCTACACTGTTCTAGGTTGCATCAACAGAAGTATAGTGTCCAGATCAATGGAAGTAATAGTACCACTCTATTCTGCCTTGGTCAGACCACATCTGGAATACTGTGCCCAATTCTGGGCACCACAATTTAAGAAGGATGTTGACAAGCGGGAACATGTGCAGAGGAAGGCAACCAAGATGGAAGCCAAGCCTTGTGAGGAGCGCTTGAAGGACCTGGGTATGCTTAGCCTGGAAAAGAGGAGACTGAGAGGAGATATGATAGTCATCTTCAAATATTTCAAGGACTGTCACATGGAGGAGGGAGCAAGCTTGTTTCCTCCTGCTCTGGAGGGTAGGACTCGAATCAATGGCTTCAAGCTACAAGATTCTAACTAAACATCAGGAAGAACTTTCTGACAGTAGAGAGGGGGTGTCTCACACTGGATCTGCATAGGTGGCTTTACAAGGGAATTTCAGAGCATCTGAAGGTCAAGGCCTAATTCCTAAATGCTCATGCAGATATTATGCAGATGATGGCATTTATGTTCAAAGAAACATAAGCACAAAAAAGGAATGGCAGGATAGATTATTAGATTATACTGAACTGGCCAGATTAACAGAGACAATTAGGGGACAACCCAGACAAGAATTTCAAAAAGAATGGGGGAAATGCAGAGAATACTTTACCAAACAGTGCCCCAAAATATATACCTGGACATGTTTTGATTAATTTCTACAGGAGACTTTGCGGTTTTTGAAGTCATAACTAGGGAAAATTATAATAATCACATATAAAAGAAACAGTATACAGGAAGTAAATAAGGAGGCCATACACAGGATAAAGGAAGTATTTTAGTTTTATGTTATGTTTCTTTATGTAAGGGGATAGGAGTTTAATTTTGAAAATGGTGGTGGGTTTGTTTGTTTGTTTGTTTGTTTGTATGTATGAGTTGTTGTGGACTATGTTGTAAATATTTTTTTTAAAAAGGGGTGAGGGGAGAAACATAAGCACTGCCCTGCTCTGTCTTTTTTAATAACAAGCTTGGAGCTTGTTTAATCTAAGCAACGTGTTGGCATTTAGACTCATTCAGTTGCTCCTGGCTGTTAGGATTTAACATAAAATAAGAACTCATTCTGGGTTTTGCCCTGGTACCTCTAATCATAGAACTGTAGAGTTGGAAGGGACCCTGAGGATCATCTAGTCCTACATTCCTGAAATGCAGGAATATGCAGTTTTCCCATACAGGGATCGAACCTGCAACCTTGGCATTATCAGCACCATGCTCTAATCGAATGATTCTGCACCATGAATGAAGGAGGAAATGTACTCCCAACCCCCTCCTTCCAGGAGCAGAAGCGTTTTCTTTTCTCAGACAAAAAGCACTGGATATACCACCCATTGTTAAACCTTCACACAGGAAACAGCAAAGAGAGAGAGAAATCACATCAAGAACAAGGATCACAAATTTCTGTTAATATGATTAATAAATATGCCAATAAAACCACCACGGTTGATTGTGTTGCTCTGATCAATTCTCATGCTATTCAGGTAAAAAAATAAATT